ATCCCGCTGCCGGATAGTGCTCACATTTATTGGTCATAAGACAAGCCTCCCGGCTCAATTAGTCAAACGAACACCTTTTCAACCCTTGCCTTTCATGATAGGAAAACATGATGAACTACGAAAAGTGACACTGCTGAAACCGGACACAGACTAACATCATTGAACATGCTATGTATTTCGCACCCGGGCATGAATGACTAACATCATTAAACATGATAGGTTTAACTGACGAATGAAACTTTCTTGGACCGGGTGGAACGAACACTTTCTTCAGCAATCTTTTTCGACCGTTCTCGGGTTACTATACCGAGTTCCCCTGTAGAAACCTTGCCTTTAATGATAGGACGAGGTTTTGGTTTTGGCTTGGTGGGGACATCAATAGATGGTTGCTGACTGGGACCGGCCTCTGACTCCTTTTGTTTTGAAGGGACTGGTCGTTTTGCGTTGACACCACTTGACTTTGTGAAATCAAAGCTATTCGAAGCTTTGGTTGTGTCCGACCTCAGATTGGTTGCTTGAGCTGGTTTGACAGTGGCTTGGATAACAGCCGAGGCAGCTCGGCATTTGACTTTGCCTGGTCGGGCACTCCTCGGGCCAAGTTTGTAACCCTTCTCTAACCGAGGAAACTTGCAGGGTGTATCCTCCTCATCAGTGAATTTTCTCTTCTTCGCTCGATCGGCCGACTCCACCCCACAGCCCAGGTCAGCTTCCCAAAATGTATCATCAGCCAAGACCTCAGTGTCCGATGGTACTTCATGGGATAGAGCCCGGGTGTCATTGTACCGAGGCTGAAGCTCGGGGCTGGTATCTACAGTGATCGTAGCATCGTCTGAGCCCAAATCTGATCCCGAGTCTCTATCCTCTTCCAAGGTCGGGTTGACCCTGCTAGGTTTCACTGTGGGCTCGGTCAGAGTATCCTGCTTTGGCCTCTCTTGACCATTATCGGAGTCTGAGTCACTATCATCGGAGCCATCCTCACGATGTTCGTCATGCTGTTTGGTTGGTTTCTTGGTTGGTTTCTCCACGTCCAAGTCTTCTCCATCGTCATCGGAGCCATCCCGATCAGGAGTCCAGTCATCCTTAGAAAACTGTTCGGTTCGTTTCTTGGCCGGCTTGTCCACATCCAAATCCTTCCAACTGTTGTCATCGAACTGCCGATCTTCCACCCCTTCCTTTCTCTTTGGCCTGGCTTCCTCATCTGACGGTGACTCGGTTGCTGCCCGGCCTCTCCTTTGACCCTTGCTTCTGCCGGGCTTCTTGCCCTTCCCAACACTATGAACATGAGGTTTAGGAACGTGAACTTTGATTTTCCTTCGTGGAGGTGCTTCCAGCAGCATTTCCCCTCAAGAAAGGATAAA